CAATCTCAGCACACCAATGGCTCTTCAAGGATAAGACCACGTCCCCAGCACCTTAAGAGTCACTTACTCACAAGGTGCCCACACTTCACCTACCTGTCCCTATTTAAACCTTAGCACAGCACCTGTGTAGTAGATCCCACTAATACCTTCATTCAGCTGGGCGAGGCGGCGCCTGCCTGTAATCTCAGCAACCGTCTCCGCAACTTAGCAGATCCCTAAGCAACTTCGCAAGACCCTGTCTCTAAACAAAATATCAAAAGGGCTGGGGAGGTGGCTCAGTGGTTAAGCCCCTCTGTGTTCATAAATTCCTGGTATCAAAAAAAATAATAATAATTTATACAACTGAGACCTAAAAAGTTTCAAAGTCCAAAAGAGTGTTTTGTTTTTGTTTGTTTGGTAACCACTCTGCTTCCTGGGTGCACGGCCTCCATTAAAGGCACAGCATCTGCCAGATGCCGCCGAACCTTCTGCTGAGAAGCTTCCATCCATTACTGCAGGATTCTAGAAGAAGAGGCCTTCTCCTCTTCCATCTCCCTTCCTGGGCTCTGCCCTGAGCCTGGGCGGCCAGCAAAGGGGCCGCCTCTCCCACGCCTTTCCCTGGGATTCTGCAGAATGCCACTCCCGCTCCCACACACACCACCTGACACAGAGCTGGGGAACCTGCCCTCATCACATGAGCCTTCACAGCGACTCCACTTCCCTCTGAAATTACATTAAATTGTTCCATTAGTGTCAAAAAAAAAGAAGATGCATGATACTTTTATGAATTTCCTTTTTTAAAAAAAAAAAAAAAAAAGTTATCTTCGGAACTGTACTCATGCTGACTGCTTCCAGCAAGTTGGAGGTTATCTGGGGGCAGAATTTATTCGCAGAGAAGCCACAAAGTCAGTCTAAATGCCAGAATTCATTCTGGCTGACTTGTGTTGAATCGATACAGATGTGATAATGCAATCATGGAAGTCAACTTGAATACGCCTTCCTCCCGGGAAGTTATAAAAATGCCCAGTAAGCACATGAAGAGATGCTCCACATCCCTCGTGATTACAGAATTGTACATTAAAATGAGACACCACCTTGTACCCAGGGAGGGCTACTCACAACAAGACAAAACAAGAAAGCAGAAAATAGCAAGTGTTGGTGAAGATGTGGAAAAACTGGAAATCTTGTGCACTGTGGGTGGGAATGCAAAATGGCACTGCTGCTACGGAAGACAGTAAGGTAGTTCCTCAAAAATATTAAAAATAGAGCCAAAGTGTGGTGGTGCACAGGTGTAATCCCAGTGGCTTGGGAGGCTGAGGCAGGAGGATCAAGAGTTCAAAGCCAGCCTCAGCAAAAGCGAGGTGCTAAGCAACTCAGTGAGACCCTGTCTCTAAATAAAATGCAAAATAGGGCTGGGGATGAGACTCAGTGGTTGAGTGCCCCTGAGCTCAATTCCTGCTACCAAAAATAAAATATACATATATACAGAGAGAGAATTACTGTATGATACAGGAATTACACATCCAGAAAGATCTGAAAACAGAGTCTTGAAGACATATACCCAGTTTCACAGCAGCATAATATTCACAATAGCCAAGAGGTGGAAGCTACCCAATAGCCACCGACAGATGAAATGTAGTAAATGTAGGTAAAATGTAGTCTAAACAGACAATGGAATATTATTTAGCTTTTAAAAAAAAAAGGAAATTCCAACACATGCTAAAACGTGACTGCTCCTTGAAGACACTCTGCTAAGTGAAAAACACCAAACACAAAAAGACAAATACTTGTTCCCCTCACATGACGTAGCGGGAGCAGTGAACTTCAGAGACAGAAAGTAGCTTGGTGGTGACCAGGGGCTGCAGACAGTGGGGTGGGGTGGAGAACTGTTGAACTGGTAGAGAGTTAGAGTCACGCATCGCGCTAAAATGGGAAAGTGCTTAACCCTGGAGCACGGTCCACCTACAGATGGTGAAGATGGTAAGTTTTAAAAATCCAGAGTGCTAAGATGTATCCTTTCTTTATGAGCAAATGCTGCAACGGAGCTGGGTGGGATACTCTGTGGAAATTAGAGGAGTTTGGACTGAAGTTGAGGGAGGGTTAAAGAGAAGGTTTTGGAAGCAAATTGCCAGTCCTCATGAGCCTCTGCCCCAAACGTCAGAAACCACACAGTAGGAGATCTCCTGGAAGCCTCCAGAGCCCAGCACCACAGTGGTAAAGGGGGTGTAGGGGGTATGCTGGGTGAATCAGAGACACAGCCACGGGACAGGACAGGACACGTGGTGTTTCTTTCTCTCTCTCTCTCTCTCTCTCTCTCTCTCTCTCCCCACCACCACATTCCAGCTTCTCTGAGCTGGGCAGCCTTTCTCCACCACACACTTCCACCATGAGGCTCTACCTCAACCACAGACCAAAAATAACAGAGCCGACCAACCATGCTGAAACCTGGAGCCAAAAAAAAAAAAAATCAATCTCTCTTCCTTTTTTTTTTTTTGAGATGGAGTCTCTCTATGTTCCTTATGCTGATCGTGAACTCCTGGACTCAAGAAACCCTCCTGTGTCACCTCCCAAGTGCTGGGATGACAGGGGCCAGCACCATGCCTGTGTCTCCTCCTTTTGAGTTGTTGGTGTCAGGTATTTTGTCACAGTCACAGAAAGCTGACACAGCTACCAAAAAAAAAAAAAAAATCTAGAGAGCTCAACTTTCTTTGTCTTGCAGTCAGAGTCTGAAAAAAAAAATCAGAAAAATGTCCAAACTGGGTGCCGTGGCACATGCCTGCAATCCCAGTGGCTCCGGAGGCTGAGGCAGGGGGATGGCAAGTTTGAGGCCAGACTCAGCCACTTAGTGAGGTCCTAGGCAACTTAGTGAGACTCTAACTCTAAATATGAGAATAAAAAGACTTGGGGATGTGGTTCAGTGGTTAAGCACTTCTGGATTCAATTCTAGGCACAAAGAGAGAGAGAAAGAGAAAGGAAGGGAGAGAGGGAAGGAAGGAAGGAAGGAAGGAAGGAAGGAAGGAAGGAAGGGTGCCTAACATCGAGCAAAATCCACCCCAATAGTCACTACTGGACAAATGCAGAGCCTCTCTGTAAGGAACAGGAAATAAACAAACAAAAGAACCTTTATACACTCATCCACTTGCGTGTTCATTATCTCCTATTACAGATCAGAAATAATCCCTATCTGATGGAGAAAACATAATACATTAGTAAAAAGTACTACTAACAAAACTCCCATGTATTGAAAATGCTGTGAAAGAAACAACTTTGTCACAATGAGGAGGATGAAGGGGAATCTTTTTGTGGCAGCTCTGCTAGTTGCACACCCAACGTGGACCCACCTTCTTCCTCTCAGGACCCTGGAACTATTCAAAACCCCAATGCTCCCAGACAGAAATCCAGCACTCGGCCTCATTTTCAGCCCTGACCGGTAAGACATGGGTGGATTCCCTACCACTCTCCCTTCTCAAGTGAAAAAGGGAAAAGCCTGGCGAGGAAAATAGCTCTCTCAGCCCCTTGCATATCCTTCGTGCCTACAGTGCAGATCGGGTGCCTGGAGATTCTGCAACTATCCTGTGACCCTTTGAACAAAAATTACCTGTTAAGGCTGGCAGGTGACAAGTTCTGGTTTACCTACACTCATCTGCCTTATTTTTCTTTTGTTTGATCCTCCTTTCTGATTTCTGCAATGATGACGTGTTATTTTACAAAAAGAAAAAACTAATAAAACAGACGTCATTTTAAAATATGTAGATGCTGGGTCACGACAGTGGAGATCATGAAAACATGTCCAAGAACTCTTTTATTGTCAGACTCCAGGAAATTTTGCAGCTATTCTTCCAGATTCTCATAGGAATCTCTGTGCTCAAAGCATCTTCCCAGAGAGAATCTTTTCAAATGTATTTTCAAGTAGTTCAACCTGATTTGGTTTCGGATGCATCCCAAGAAACATCTCAAAAACAAGAGAGCCATTGTTACTTTCCTTCAGAAATCTCTTCCTTTCTAAATCCTCAGCAGTTTATATCCCTTACATCATACTGAGATCAAGCTTCAAAAATCAATTTGATGGGTAACAGAGTTACTGTGTCTCTTTAAACAAATACATGCAAAGTTAAACAACAAAATGAATGGCTCACCTTGAAAAGAGTCATCATAGATTTAATAAAGAAAATTGGATCTCACTGGGGTTCCTAAGAAGGATGTCAGATATATTTTTGAGCCATCGTGTGGCTCATGAGAGTATGTGAATAGTCAAATTATGTCCAAAACAAAGCATCCCAGACCTTGAATAATAAAAGTATTAAGGCTATGAACATATCTCTAAGCACAGCTTTGGCTGATCTTGTAAGCTCTTGGTACACTTCACTTAGCCTCTCTGTAATTGTCAACTTCAAGTCCTCTCTGACATTACTGAAGAAGGTATATTCAAACGACTTAATGGCTATGTTTGGTTGGGTGTTTTTGCACTTCATCCCTCATGACACAGGCAACACTCTAAGAGTCTTTATTCTTGACCTGATTCTAAACAATAAGGAAAACGTAGTCATGTGACATTCACCAAAATTTAGGAAAAACGGTCTTAGGTGAGGACTTCTAGTGGACCTCACCTAAGCCATCAAGGGCAGATGATGACCTCCTATGTCTTTCCATAGAAACCCTCTTAGCTTCTCCATCTCTACCACCCCTGTTTCTCCTACGTTCTTGTTGACTCCCTCGCGTCCCTCCAAGTGACAGAAAACTCCCCCATTCCCACATCAGCTGTCCCTCCTGTGTAGCGTCACCTGCTCATTTACTTACACGAAACAACTCTTGTTTGACTCCAAGGGGTCTTTCACTCTTCTTGCTGATAAACCCCCGTTTCATTCAGACACTGTATTTTTTCTCCTCATCCCAATAATCCAAAGTGTTCCTTCAAACATACTAAAATACGTTCTGGACTGGTGACTCAGTATCACTGAGAAAGACAAAGAAATTGAGCGTGGGATGCTCTGCCCAGTCCCCTGTCCCTGCCTTCAACCTGGAGGCAAGCAGCCTCAGGCCAGTGCTGGACTCTTTCTTAACTTGGATCGGCTGTGGGAGGTCACGTGAGCCGATGTGTCTTGCCAGAAGGTGCCAAGTGGCCTCCAGTCCTCTCCCTGGGCCTGTGAGGATACCTTTTGTCCACCAAATGTCGATGAAGGACAGTGCCTCTGTTTCAAATGTGGTCCATCTGGGGAATCGCAGAGGCGTCACAAATGGCCCTGTGCCAGCCGCCGCCACCTGGCATGTGGCTCAGCAGCTCTGTCTTTGTCATTCAGACCCACCGAGGCCAATCTCATTCATAATCCGAACCTGCAGTCCCTCGGATCCCTGAATGGGCATCTGCTTCAGCAGCCCCTGGCTGAATGGACGTGGAGCTTGGGCAGAGCCACCAGGAAGGTTTCCAAGTCAGCCCCCCCCCCCAGGATTGGAGACACATCCTACCGCAATGCCATCATCAAATAGAATAAGGAGACTCTTCCTTTACTGACACGGAACGAACACCAAGATATATCATTATGCAAAACATTCAAGGTAAGCTAACGTTTGAATGTGTGTGTTTGGGGGAGAGAAAGATCGGAGCGACTTATATGTATATTATGGTTAATTTACAGAAGTATAGACCAAAAAAAATGGTAATACTGATTGCTTTTAGGGAGGTCAAGGCTGAGGCCGAGGACAAGAGACTTTCCAAGATGGTCTCTTTGGAAGCTTTTCCATTTAACTTGTGACCGTATAAAATCTTTCAAATTTTAATGCAATTAAAGTCTCCTATCAACGGGGACCGAGATACAACCCTATCACAGTACACAACGATACCCGGGGAAAAGATGCGGCAAACGTATATTTCTTGACTTGGAAAGAGAGTCGTCAGAGACCAATCGTGGGGTGCGAAAAGCAGATGTGAGAATAAAGTCTTCAGTCTAGTTTCTAATTTTAATTTAAAACGCATATACATGTTGATTAAAATCTGCAAGAGCATAAACCAAAATGTTCACGGTTCCTTCTTTTTTTTTTTTCCTTAGTGGAACTCTGGGTGATGTTGATGTCCTTCTCTTCGTATATCTTCATTTTCTAATTGCTCTATAATTGGTAAACATTTGAGAATTCTTAAATATATATATATTTATATATTTAACTTAAAAGAGAGAGAGAGAGAGAGAGAGAGAGAGAGAGAGAGAGAGAGAGAGAGAGAGAGAGAGAGAGAAAAGAATCCATCCCGAGGCTTTTGTTCTAAAGGATGCACTCCCTCCTGGGCCAGACGGTGGCTCTGGTACTACCTCAGGACTTCACAGTGAACACCTTATTTGGAGGGACAGCCAGAGAGGGCCGCCAAGGAGAAATGGCCCGGTGGCCAGAAGCACCGCGAGGGAGACAAGGTTTTAAAAGGCAGAGCTGCTGTGAACCTCAGCACAAAATAAGCAGCCGGGGCCCTGGCTGCAGCCCTGTAAACAGTAATGTGCATTCATTAAAACTGCATTAGCGTAAGGAGTCCCCGGGGACGGGCTCAGGGGAGGGGGAGGGGAGAGGCTACCACTGCACCTGCTGTTTTCTAACACAATGCAAACCAGCCAAAAATGGGTTTCTGGTGCATGTCACACGGCCAGAAAAGAGCCACCCAGATGAGGGGGTTCATAGCTCCTGTCTGACTTGAGGAAGGGAAACAGGCTGAGAAGAGAGAAGCATCCTAGATCTGGCCTGGGCTGGCTAGGGCCCCACCTGCTCTGCTGAGTGGCTTTCAAAGAAACATGTAGGCTTGAGGCCTGGGGGGCATCGCCAACGTGGTCCACTGCCCAGTCAGACTGGGCATTAGGGGCTGATTCCCTCCCGCTCGCCAGGGGCCACCTAAGAGAGTAAAATGGACCAGGTAGGAAAGTCACGGTGGACAGGTCCTGAGGACTTAGTGTTCTAAGGCCCATATGCGTTTTAGGTCACAGAAACCTCCCAGCGGCCCTCGGAGGGGGCCACAAATGTGCCGAGGCTGCCCAGCCAGGTGGTGGCATGCAGACTCAGAGCCAAGCCTTGCTCCAGAGCCCAGGGTCTCGGCCGCACCAGCGTGGCGCCCCTCCCGAAGGTTGCCAGGCATCCAGTTCAAAGTGGAGTTTCGAGACGGTGACTTGTAACCGTGAGCCCAGGATCTCCTGAGGCCCTAACAGGAGCATGAACCACAACTACCAAGTCCACAGACACCGATGCCAACGGCGGGCTGCATTAGCCCATTGCAGAGACTGGGTGACTGAGGCTTAGAGACTCGGGGAGATTTCCACACACCTGGGGGAGCATTCTCACCCCTAGGTCCCCAAGCAGGTGGCACAGAGAAGGCACAGCTTGGGCTAAGAAAACCCACCAGAGCAGCACCAGCCTGAGACAAAGGGAGCCAGGTTTCGCTTTCCTCTGAGCGGGACACTCTGAGATTAAAAAGGACAAAGGAAGGAAAGAGCCGGGATGTTTGCAAAGATGTCGCAAACCTCCCACTTCCCTCGGCCAGAAAAGTGAGAAGAACTTCCTTCCCCCCAAGTGCAGCAGATTGGCTGCTTCTCCACAGAGACCCCTGGGGGGACCTCCGAGGTCAGCAAGTCTGATGCTCACTGGTTCGTCACATTGCTCTTGCCCTGCGCTCACAGACACCTCGGCTGTCTCCTCCTTGTCCACAGCCTTGGGAGGAAGGGGAGGCTGAAGCCCACAGCTCAGGATCCATTAAAGGGCTGCCCTCCTGACCACGTTGACCTTGACTGCCTCGCCGGCCCACGGCCATGGTGATCCCGCCCCTTGCTCCAGTTCCTGGGCCACCCGCCCTCAGAACCACATGGGCTTCAACATGGGGACTGAGCCATGTACCCTAGACAACCACGGGAGGCCCCCCCTTCCCTGCGACCTGCAGAATGAGGAGCAAGCAAAGCGGTCATGCCCAGAGGTGAGAAAAGTGGGTATGGACAGAGGAGCAGCCACGGGAGAGAGGAGCGCGCTTCCAGTTGTCTTCCCTCCCTTCGGCCAGGCTGACCACCTTCCCCTTGGGAGCAAGCAGTGACCCTGAACTCTGATTCTAGTCCCCCCTCCCTCCCAGCTTTGCTGACTCCGTTTCTGATACTTGCAACCAAACAAGCTCAGCCAGCGCCCGCGGTCACTCCCCGGGACATGAAGACCTCGTCCAGACACCTGGAAAAAAGTCAAGAGCAAACCCCAGGCTAAAACTCACATGGAACCGGCCGAAACAGTTCAGGGGAAGTCCGTTCAGCAAGTGTCAATCAACCCTCTCTCAGGAGGCCACTCAGGGCCACTGGAATACACACCCTGCCGTGGAGCAGCTTAGAGTGGAAGGAAAAGAATCGCTAACAAAGCCAGCGAGGGTAACGAGGGGACGAGGGGACGTGCAATCAGGGCTTAAACTGGGTCCTAAACCAGAGGTGAGCTCCTAGGAGTCCAGCTCCCTGGGGTTACCAGAGGTGGAGCATCTCCAAGGACAGGGCAAAGGGCAGGATCTTTGCAAACACACAGCCTCTGGAAGATGAAGAAGAGGCCAGGTGGGCTGGATGGAGGCCCCAGGGAATGGCAGAACAGGTTGGAAAGATGAGGGGGAGCCAGCCCGTGGGGTGAGGGAGCAGGTCCAGGTAGGAGTGCCGTCCTCCCATCGTCATGCCATCGGCCACCTCCACACACCACTTGCGATATCATTCACGGCTTTATTGAAATGGACTTCCTTTTTAATTTATGATATTTTAATAAAGGAAAGTTCTGGAAAAGCTAACCACAAGGCTATCCTCTGACCTAGAAATTCCACTCTTAGGAAGGTTCTCAGAAGAGTTGAAAACAGCCGGGCACAGTGGCACATGCCTGCGATCCCAGCCGCTCAGGAGGCTGAGGTGGGAGGATGGCGAGTTGTAGGCCAGCCTCAGCAACTAAGCAAAACCCTGTCTCAAAATATAAAGGGCTGGGAACATGGCTCAGTGGTTAAGTATCCCTGGGTTCAAAAGCAAAAGGGGGAGAGAGTGTTGAAAACATATATTCAGACATACAAAGACTGTACACGTCTATTCACTGCTATTCCAAACAGCCAAGAAGTGGAAGCAACCCAACGAATGGATGTGCAAAATGTGGGATATCCTACCATGGAATATTATTCAGTCATGTAAATGGATAATGTGGTGGTATGTGCTACAGTATGCTTGAACCTGGAAAGCATTTTAAGAAACCAGTCACGAAGGAGCACAAATTGTATGATTCCATTTATATGAAACGTCCAGAATATACATACCTATAGAGACAGAAAGGAGATTAGTGGTTGCCAAGAGCTGGGGAGAAGGAATAAATGAGGAGTCACTACTAAAGGGTTCAGAGTTTCTTGGGGGGGAGTATGATGAGAATATTCTAGAATGGGTGGTGAAGGTGCAAAACATTGTAAATTTGTTTAAAAAAGCACTGAATTGCACTTTTTTTTGATGGTTAAAATGGTGAGCTTTCTGTGAATTTGGGCTCAATGAAACACTCTTTGAAAGAAATGGAATGAAAAATCAGGATCTCTGAACATAGCTAGAAGTTTGCCACAAAAATAAACACAGCCAAAACAAAATGAGGTTGCTTTGTTCCGGGCTTGACGTCACCGCCTGCCCAAAGCTCTGAGCGCGAGACCTGCTCTTGGTGAGGATGGACTTGGGCGTGGGAAAGACCTGCTGGCACCCCCTCCCTGACCCCCACCCCCCGAGTCTTTTCTCTTTGTCCCCAAGAAGGATTTGAAGAGGGAATGTGTTTCCCACACTGTGACCTAACGGTAACTAGTGCCAGGTCCTTGGTACCTAGCCCTGCCCCCAAATCCCAGCAGGACCCGCCTGGCACTCTGGGAAACTCTGAAGGTTGCAGCCAAGGTCACGAGGGGTCTTCTACATGCCAGCCGCTCGGGTGACACCCTCTATTCCTTCCCACAAACAGGCACTGGCTGCCCCTGGCTGCCTTCCTTTGGCTCCCCTGTATACCACGGTCCCTCCACCTGGAGGAGGCGAGGGGCTTTTTAAAACAAAGAGAAAGCCCAAGCCCCTTGGGAAGGTATCCAAGGTGCCTGTCCCCGTCCTACCTGCCACCTGGTGGGAACCACACCTGGCGAGGACTCCCCGGGGGTCCAGCGGGCTGCGCAGGTGCTTTTGCAAAAGCTGTTCCCGTGTTGACGCTGCCCTCCCCCCCGCCTGTCAAGACACCTCCTTCTTCAAGGGCCTCCTTCCCACCTCCACCCACCCACCATGATCCTCCCCCTTCTGCCGAGCTGCCATGAAGACTCTGCGTCCTGGCTCCCACTGGCTGATCTGCAGAGCCGCCTCAACCCTCCGACAGCTGCCCTCTGTGTGTCCCTCCTTCCCTGGGCCCCAGGGACTGGCCACCATCCCACTCCCACACCTACTTATTATTCTATATGGACTTTCTCTCCCCACCCACCGCCTCCAATCTCCTGAACACATATACTCCCTGCTGCTGCTGCCAAATAAGCCTGTGAGTTCTACGGCTCCTAAAGGAATCGACGGACACGCTGTGCAGTCATAAAAACCTCTGCGGCTCCGGCCCTCGGACGCAGAGCTGCTGCATCCACGACCCGGAGGGTCCCCTTCCCCCTGGGGGTGCAGTTGGCAGGGGAGATGGTTCGGGCTGGAAGTTGGGGGATCTTAGATTCGCCCGAGGGTTCAAAGGGGGACCTCTGTCCCTCCCAGGGTCCACTTGAACGGCTCCCACCCTTCTTCCTCCACAGATTAGCACACCACAAAGCTGGAGGTCTGGTCTCCGAGATAGAAAGGCAGCTTCCCATCCGGCTCCCAGACATCGAGAGCCCTCGATAGGGCTCACTGCAGAACCTCAGTGCGGGAAAGGCCCTCGCGTCGTGCCCTTTATTTTCACGGAAGGTCTGCTCAGCCCAGGATGATAAAGCTGTGGTCCTCCGTTAGAGAGGAGTCTGTCCCCCCAGGGGACAGGCTGTCGGGTCTGGAGACAGTTTTGATTATCACAGCTCAAGGTGAAGATTGCTGCTGGCACTGACCAGGCAGAGGCCACGGATTCTGCTGGACATCCTACAGTGCAGTCCCCAACCCAGAGGCATCCAGCCCCAAATGCCCACAGGGCGGAGGTGGCCAAGTCCTGCTCTGAGTCAATCCCTCCCAGCACCAGACACTTGCTCCCCCGCTGCCCATGACCCTTCCCCACCCAGGAACCCCACTGGTCCCACCCCCAGGATTCCTGGCTACCTAAGTCACAGTTCCCCCTGGAGGCCAGGATCTCTGCCTCTCTAATCAGCTGAGACCCCCCCATCCCCACCCCCGCCCAAAGTACCGGCTGCCTCGCTGACTCCGGAAACCTCAGAAAAACGAGTGCAAAATCCCTCCTCCACAATTTAATATATGATAAAGGCGGCATTTCAATTCTGTGGGAGGCGATGGATTATTCAATAAATGGTATTGGGACAACTGGCTGACCATCTGGTTAAAAAAAAAAAAAATTAAAGCTCGATCCCCACCTCCCTCCTAAAGTCAAAATAAATTCCAGATGGATTAAAGATTTAAATGAAAAAAAAAGAAAAAGAAAAAGTCAAAGTAGTAAAATATGGGAGAATTGCTCCGTAATCTCATTGAGGAGGAAGGAGGCCTTTCTAAGCAAGACACGAAATGCAGAACGTGTGAAAGAAGAGACACAAATTTTGAGTTAGACCTTTTTACGTGCTCATGAGGTCAAAAGTTCCCATACCAATCAACTTCTTTTCCCCAAGTGAAAACCAATGGTATGCAAATGATGTGTAAATCGCAGACATTTATTTACTACATTTTAAAAGCTTACAATATATAAGCATGAAAATCGTCGAAAGACCAGAAAGGGCAGTTCACAGAGAAAGAAGCACAAAAAGTTTCTCATAAGCGAAGGGATGAAATTTCAGATGACCGTTGGCTACCCAGTGTTTGCTGATGGGGTTGGTAAAATGAACAAGTTTGAGAATAAAATCTGTGGGACCAGACATCCGAGGGACACGTGAATAGATTCTCTATGGAAAACCATCTGGCATCATCCATCCACATCTTAAAGAACAGATCCATGGAGCCAGCCGTTCCAGTGATCCATCTGTCCTTGCACACGCACACTCAAACACACAGTGGTTTACGCAGGAATATCCACGACCTTATCATCTGTAATAGCAAAAGGCGCTTACGATCGCCAGGGCCCATTGTCAGGGGACTGGTTAAACACATCACCATGCATTTACCTTAGAGATACCTGGGAGGCAGTTCTATGTACGCAACTCCATGAGATATGATTAAAAGGAAAAGCTAAATATGAAATGATAATGTCACAGACTCCCAACTGTAAGAAGAAAACTGGGAAGGATGCAATCATTCCTTCAGCTAGTATTTATCTAGCCCCCGCACCATGGCCAGCACCGTTTGTGGTGCTAGGATTCCATCAGGACTGAGTCCGTTGGGAAATGCCTGAGTCGCACGTTTGGGAAATTACTAGAAAAAGAAAAGACAGCCAACCGGTCAGAGCAGAGTCTCTGGGGTTGTAAGATGTAGCGAATAAAAATTACAGGACACCTCGTTAAATGTGAAATTCATAGAAGTGACAAACAACATTGTATAGACGTTTGTGCCACGTGGTATATTTGGGACAGGCGAAATGGTGGTTCCTTCTTTGTCCAAAATTCAACCAATGAACGCTGGTCAGTCACCCTGCTGGGGGACAAGGGGAGTTAAAATGAGGACGATGCATCGCTGGGGTTGTGTTTTAAAGTGACAAGGACGAGTGAGACCAGAGAAGAGATTCCGTGACCCGAGGTCCCCACTCTGCCTAAGCTGCAGAGTGCATTCCTGGCCGGCTCGGCCCTCGGTGTCAGCCTGGCAGCCCTCAGCTGCATTCCAGGGGCATTTGCTTCTCTAAATGGAAGCAGTAGATCCCGGCAGCAAGCAGGATTCCGAGCCCGAGCTGGGCTTTTTTTTTTTTTTTTTTTTTTAAACAGGGCCAATGCAAAAGACAAGCATAAAAAGCAGTGGGCAGAAGTGTCACTGGGCATCCTAGAAATGGGCCTCTCCCAGAGAACAGAGAGGAAGAAACGGCCGGATTACTTCAACAGCCCGGTTGTCAGGAGCTCTTGGGCCTCCCAAATCAGCCTCATCTGTCCCTGCCTCTTTCTTAAAGGAGATTTTTATCCCTCCAAGAGGAAAAGCACATTTTCTGCAAAGATTCCGCCAGCCTTTAACTCCCAGATATTCTGGAACACTAACAATAACTGACATTTATGAAGTGCTTGTTAGATGCCAGACACTCTCCTAAGCCTTTTTAACCAAGACTTTACTTCACTTGTTTCAACAACCCCATGAGATAGAGACTATTCTTATTCCTTTTGTGTGTAAGTGGAAACTGAGCCACAGAGAGACTCAGCGACTAGCAACAAAATCACACAGCGGCAAAGGAGAAGACCTGGGATTTGGGCTTGGCTGTGCGGAACCCCAGAGCCCACACCCTGAACCATATGCCAGGCCATGAGCCAGGAAACGGACGAGCGAGTGAGAAACGGTGCCAAGTTCTGAGACAGACACAAAGCAGGACTGGACAACAGGTCTCCGTTTATTCATTATGTGCCCATCACTGTCCCCCACACCAGAGGATGAAGCAGAGATCCCCAAACTCTTGGAGGTGACAAACCCAGTGGATGTCAACAGGCCATCAGCAAAGGCCCATCTGAGAAGGAGACATTCAACTTGAGCAAGAGCTCGCTATTGAAAAGGGGGGAAAAATATTCCAGGCAATGAGATTGCTGCACCCTGCAAGACCCCGGGAGGGAAATGGGTTCATTTCCCCCGATCCCTAAGGACCCTTCCACTGTTGGGTTGCCCTCGACATCCCGTCCTCCAAATCCAACACCCACAGTTCAGACTTGCTTTTATACTGACTCTCCCTGCACACACCCCCGTCCCAGCCCGCGCTGCCCAGCTATCTGCAAGATCGAGGGCAGAGGACACTCGGGTCCTTCAATTCCCCAGGCACGCGCTTGACTTGCTGCTTCATTGAAGTATTATCTTTTTTGACTCAACATTAAAGCACTCCTGATTGTGCGTGTTCTGACCACGCCTTGAGAATCCTCCCCGCTGCTGGGAGACAACGGAGGTGGAGATGCCAGGGCCCAGATGCACCAGGCAGATCTGTCTGCATCCATTTGGGGGAAAAAAATAACTAGGACAGAAACCACTAGAATCTCTGTCTCTCCTCCCGACACACACACACACACACACACACACACACACACACACACACACTGACGTTCTCTTCCTGCTCCTTCACACAAAAGCTTGGGACCACCACCAACGTATGCCCAACTTCAAATCCAGCTCTTGAACACATCACACGCAAGACGTGACCGCTACGGTCATTCTTGTGCAGAAAACCAATCGTGGGGAATAGGAAACTTGGGTTTCAAATACTAACTAGAGACTCCGCTGAGTACTGGACCCCCTCCCCCCCCGTGCCTCAACGTGCTCATCTGTAAAATGGGGATTCTTCTGACCGTGCTCCTCCCTCACAGGATGATGAAAGGGTCAAACGAGTTACTGC